TATATGTTTATATACACACACACATAAACACATATCTGTAATCACTAATTCGTACAACACTTGAAACCATTGCCCACACAAGTGGAAGGGATCATAAGGAAAACATTATCAGATATAATTTATAGACATTTCATTTGCTGACATATGTGGATTCTCAAAGATCATAAAGCCCACAGCCCCTTCTCCCGGCTTTCTGTCTCAGGAAAAAGAACAAGACAGTCTTTGAGTGGTTAATATCTTTGAGGCTCAGCAGCGTAATGTCCATTTCTCTTTCCTCATCCCTCTTCCGTCCATCCTTGGAAAGCAGTGCTACTGTACTTGGTGCCCACACAAGAGATTTAAGGTGCAGTGCTGTCCAGCTTGGGAGTGTTCAGCCCATCCAGCCCCTGCAGGGTGAGCCAGGGCCAGAGGGCCTCCCTGGGGTCCCGGCCAGTAGACAGGCTGTCACAGCACTTCTCCAGCTGCAGAGCCACCACTAAGCCAGCCGACAGGACCCCTGGGCCTGGCCGATGCTCAGATTGACTTGCAGAGTGTTCGTGTGTTGGGTCCTGCGCCCAGTACAGGGAGCTGCCTGAGATGCAGGGTAGTGCTCTCAGATGCAGGGTTGAACCCAAAAGTCGTTCTCTAGCATCTGCCCAGCCCCTCACATGGGTCTCACACTGGTTGTAATCCCACTTAAAATCTCTATTCTCTTTCTGGTGAGTCCTCTTCCATACACTCAGCAGGACTGTGCAGTGCCTGATCAGGGCCTGCCCTGTGGCACCTCCTTCTAGAAAGAGTCTGTCTCTCCTCATGGTGTTCAGGCTCAAGCCGCACCTCAGACATGCCACATTCCACCACCCCCCACATCCTTTGTGTTCACTCTTCTCTCTGCCTCTAATGTCCCTGCCCAGCTGTCTGTCCACCTTGCTCTTCCTGTCACTTCATCAGAGATCCTGAGAGTGATGAGCCCTCCATCACAGCCTCACTCGTGACTCCACGTCAAAGCCTTCACTTGTTGACGTTTTTCTGTTTAACTTGTGTCTGTTTACTCTCCCTCTTTGCTAACAGAATGCTGTCTTCTAGAGAAGCGGGATCTTGTGTGACTTGTTCACGCTGAACCCCAGCTTCTAGTGAGGTGCTTGCCTCGTCACAGGTCTCCAGGGGTACCATTAGAGGAATAATCAATCTGTGACGGGGGTGGGTCTGCAGGCACAGAGGTCTGCCAGGTGGTATCCCTCGGGGCTGGATGTGGCTGGCTTTACTAGCTGCCTGCTCGGCTTCCACAGTGGACGTGAGGAAGGCAGAGCCCCACACGGCCCTGCCCTCCTCGAGGCAGTCTCTGTCCAGAGACACGGAGCTTTGGGTGTTTGCCTTGTTGGTAGGTGCTGGTCAGTCGCTTCTGACCCGTAGTGACCCTGCCTGAGCCTGCACCAGCCTCTGTGCCTGTCCAGCTCGTGGAGGGTCTTCCTCGAGGCTCACTGACCCTGTAATACACCATGTGTGATGTCCTCCATCGGGGTCTAGCCTCCCCCTGCACTTCTAAAATGGATTTGCTTTTCCTTTGGGCAGTTCATGGTGTGTCCAGTATCTCACACCAACATCACAATTCAAAGGCATCCGTTCTTCAGTCTTGCTTATTCATTGTCCAACTTATATGCACATGAGGTAGCTGAAAATACCATGGGCTCCTTGGAACAATGAAATAATGTCATTTGGGAATCATAGCCATAGGCAGGCTCTGCGAACAAGGCTCAGCGAGGAAGAAGCAATTACTACAAAAGGCATGTCATGTTTCCTTAAGAGAATGTGTGTACTTTCAGTTTGACAGCACTGGGAGTGGCCATGAAGAGGACATGGAATGAAGCAGAATTTTATTTGGTTGCTCACAGTATTACTCTGGGGTCAGAAGTAACATGCAGCTGCAAAAAACACCATGTAGCCCCTCAGTCTTGCTGTCTTTAAAGGGAAATAGGACCTTTTCTGCAGCGAGGTGGGTGTGGGTAGAGGGAAACACTCACACACATGTGATTCTGACTGATAGAAACCCCGTATGTAGAGTAGAACACTCCACCTTAGGGATTTCACTGAAATTGAGTCTCTAGGCCTCTCTTCCAAGATGCCCTTTGGTGGCTCTTGAACCACCAACTTTTGTGCTAAGCCCACCGCTTAACCATCTGTAACACCTTGGATTCCAACTGGAAGCTTCACACTGCAGGAATGTATGTAGTGAAGGTTCACTGGGGAACGTGGTGTGGGATGAGCTGCTGGCCCTACACGGTACCAGGAGGAGACCTCACGGGGTGGACAGCAGTGGGCTCTTCCTGGTGCCTCCCTGGCTCAGGCAGCAGCAGCTTCAGTGACTGAGACGGCAGCTTCCAGGACTAAGGGGTGGCTGGCCATGTCCGTTGTCCTCACACAGGGAAGCTGGTGGATTTGAACCCCATGCCTGTGGGCAGCTCTTTAGCCGCTAGCACTCCCTTAGGGTGCATGAGAGGGAAGCCGGGAGCAGTGATTAGCATTTTTTTTTTTTTAGTTTGAGATGCCACAAGGAGGATAATGTGGCCGCTCCCCTCCAGCACTGAGCTGATGTTAGTAAAGTGCATAGTGGTAACATGAGCTCACAAGGGCCTTCCCACTTGCCACCTTGCTTTTATAAAACAGAACAGAATCGGTTTTTAAAGAACAGATCAGCAGTTAGGAAGGCACAGTGTTCTGTTTTCTACCGACAGCTAGAGCCACATGCCAGATTGTCCTCCCTGATGGTAATTAATTGAGCAGAGTTTGGAACGTAGTGTCTTGAGTTATACCCATTAATGGGCCTCTGCCTTCCTCTTAGAGAAAAATGGGGTTTCTTTGTGATGTGGCTTGACCGCCATAGAATTGCATTTGTTAAGTGTGCTAAGAAGCTTGTGGGGTGTGGTCCCCAGATGTGTCTTGAGCCACAGTTCTCCTTTTTGTCATCATAGTTGACTGTGAGCACCCTTTCCGAGCCAGATGTATGTGTGCTGATGGGTCCCCTGTCCCCAGTGCTTTCTCAGTGTGAGGTGCAAGGCTGGCTTCTCCCACCTGCCTCCAGAGGGCCCGCCCCAGCCTTGTGCGGGCCCTCAGCTCCCTTTTAAAGAGGGATCCTCTCTCTGCCCCTCGTCCTCACTGAGCATGGTGGCACAGGGACTGCAGCGGTGGACTTGAGTACAGCAAAGATTGTGGGGGTGGCGCGGGGTCAATTACTGTGAGTCGGAGCTCGCTCGATGGCACCTAGGATGTGCCGCTCTGTTGTGCTCTCCGGAGCCAGTTCACCCAGAGGCTGTGCATCTCCTGTGCTTCGAGTCCACCAGGCGCTGAGGTGCTGTGAGTCCTGCTCCAAGGCAGGGAATTTTGCGTGAGTGAACAAACGCAACCAGGGAAAAGAAGCTCTGTGGCATAGAGTGGGAGGTATTATGCTGCTAACAGAAAGTCAGTGGTTCAAATCCACCAACTTCTCTACTTGAGATAAAAGATGGACAGGGTCCTTCCACAAAGGTTTATAACCTCAGAGCCCAGTGGAGGAGTCTGAGAGTCTGAATCAAGTTCCTAGCAGTGTGCTTGACTGGTTTTTGTTTGTTTGTTATTACCAAGAAAGATGGGGAGCTGAAGTGAGAGAGTGATACTGGTTTTAAAAGAATGTCAAGATGTGGGGCCTTCATGTGGCTTTTCATAAAATGTGCAGTTTTCAGTCTTCAGAAATGTGGTTGACAGAGTGGAGACCTGACACTTGGCTCCATGGAGCCTCCATCTCCTCTTCTGAAAGGAGACCCAGCATCTCCCCACTGAGAGTGAGCCTGGCTGGTGTGGACACAGCTGGGGTTCGAGGCAGTGTTCCCCCACTAGCTGGGCAGTCGGACACAGCCTGGCCTCTCACTCTGCATGCACCCTCCCCCATCGCCCCCACCCCCCGCTGTAGCCCGGCCACACTGTTAATGAGGAAAACTGTTTCTCTGGAATGTGATTAGCACATGTTAGAATTAGAACACAACAAGTTCAGCTACTGTTTCTAAATTCCTAGAGGATTTTTGTCCACTGCAGCTCAACATGATAGGCCAACACTCCCACTACCATCAGTAGAGCTAAAAATACTGGACGATAATTTGATCTCAGATATGTGGTTGACCTTGTACAGAAGCAGTGTGTTCTAATGAGATGGATTTTCCTGTTGAAAGGCGCCCGCTGCAGGTGTGTGGTCTGTGAACAGTCCCCACAGTTCAGTGGTTTACAGGAGGCATGAGCCCACGTCCTATTTTCTGATATGTCAGAGGCTTTACCCTCATCACCTTTTTGGTCTCCTATACCTTGTACAAATGCAAAGCACCATCTTTTGTAATGTGTCCACATGGATATCTGCTGCGTATGGCAGGATCTGGGCTGTGTTCTCTCCCTTCCATTGCAAGAGGAATCTTTGCTTGTTGGAGAGACAAGAAAAGTAAAAGATTTGGTAATGTATGTCAGGTATAGATTTGAGGACATATAATTTTTTTTTGCCTGAAGAAGTTTGGGGTTTTGAAAGTTATGCTGTTGGGAGAGCTTGCAGTTAGATGGGCTTTGAGTGGGACAGGAGAGACAGAGAGGGCGCACCCCCAACCCCAAAAAGTTTGTGAGTCCTGGTGGGGCAGGGCCTGCAGGAACTTTTGTTGAGGACTGAGCAGGTAACTCCTGAGGAAGGGCTTCCTAACCTAGAGGATCTTGCCAGCCACTCAGTGCCTGTGATGGTTTAGCTGCAGGGAGGCCAGCAGGACCAGGGGGCAGCTCCGTGAAGTAGGCACTTCCCACCAGTTAGAGTCATCTTTCTTGTGCCTGTTGAGTTGTTGCCTCCATGCAGACACCCCCTTCTTCCCACCATCCTCTAGCCCAGTGTGGAGCATAGTCATAGGGAAAATGGGAGCAGGGCGTGACGGCCACAGCAGATGCTCAGTGCTGGGCGTGTTAGGGGTCGTCAAGGTGACTGCCTGTCATAGTGAGCCCATGAACAGTGGATCTGAACCCTGCCCTGCCCGTTGCCACCCTCCCCATCACTGTCATGCTTAAGCCCAGTGCAGCAGTCACTGTGCCAGTCCATCTCGTCGAGGGTCGTCCTTTCTCTACCCTCTGCGGTTTTTTTCCGGTTCCATATCTTTAGCCAAGCATCGGCCCCTCCTAACAACAGGCCCAAAGTGTGAGACAGAGTTTCACCGTCCTTGCCTCCAGGAAGCACCCAGGCCGCTCTTCCTCTGGGACTTTATTGTTCTGTTTGTAGTCCATATGTTCAATACTCTTCTCCAACACAATTCAGAGGCACCAGTTCTTTAAAAAACCAACAACAACAAACTGGAGTTTAAAGATTATAGAAGATGGCTTGCTTCTTCTGATAATACCCTATTTTGGTCCGTATTTTCCCAGTGATAATGTCTTGAAAGAGACAATTTGATAGTATTTCTGCCTAGACCACATGTTTATAAAAAGTAGAAAATTTTTTAAATACTTGTGATTACTATTTGTTCTGATCATAAGCACAAGTTTAAGGGGAATATTGCCTCTTTTAATCTTCCCTGTGCTGCTTAGAAAATTCTAGACCAGAGGTAATTTTAACCAAAGAAATAATCCTGACATTGACAGAGGTGTTTCCCGCCCACAGATGATGAGGATGGGATGGACTGCGTGGACAATGACCGGCGGCCGCACTTCCCTCAGTTTTCTTACTCAGCAAGTGGACGAGAGTAGTTCTCTTCATCCCGCTGCTTCACTGTCATCTTAGACGTATGACTGACGTGATTCCTGGACCTCGCCACCTGTCCTAGCTCTTACAGGTAGCAGGAGCACCTCAAAGCGTCCCAGACCAGTCAAGGGTCTTCACCCCAGTCACCTTTCGCCCACATGAAAACACACATATATGCAAACACACTCAACTTTTTTGTTTTTGCATGAAATTGTATCTCAGTCTAAGGTCTCATGCTGTTGCTGCTACTGTCTTACTATTCTAGCAAATCTAAGAGGTAATTTCCAGTCTTTGGAAGTCATGAGTCCGCCATTGTGGATCTGTGCCCCGGTTGTCTTCTTTTGCTTTTTCATTCTTGTTTCCCTGACAGTGAAGGATGGAAGAGACACCTTGATTCTAGGTACATTTGTAAACGTTCTAGAAGAGAACTCACAAAATTAGATGAAGACAGTGTAGTACGTCATTCTGAGCAGTTGTGGCAGGGTGATGGTGTGCATCTTCAGAGCCTGGGTGAAGCGTATCTGTTCAGTGCGTGAAGCTGGGATAATGTCTGTGATGCGGCTGGAGGCCACTCGGAAGCACGCGAGACGGGACTGAACAGCTGTGGACAAACATATATATATATATCTATATATGCACAGAGATATTTTTAAATTCCTGTTGGATACTGCAGAGGAAGCCCGTGTCACTCGTGGAGATCTGGACTTGACAGGCAGTCATGGACAGATGAACGTTGTCCTACCGAGAATGAAGGCGTATGCACAGCAGCCTTACGTCGTGAGAGGGTCTCGTGCTGTATGATACACACCACAGAGCACTGTCCTCTGTGCTCAGAACCTCTGTCCCTTCTCGATGTATCACCTCTGATGGCTGAAGAATGTAGACAGTTGTCAAGATCCTGCTTTTCACCAAAATGTGTGCACCCCGGTGAACAGGTGTGTGTTTGCCTTACTGGTTCTCATCCACTCCCTTGAGTTTCGCAAGAATTAGCTTTTCCCCTCAGATGTTAAACTTTGCCTCTCCTCTTATGATTTTGTCTGTATTGCAGTAGTATTTATTTTTTAGTGCTGAGAGCTGTACATCCCCTTAGCAGATGCAGCTCCGGCTTACACAGCATGCCTGCATGCCGCTAACTTGACCCATGCTCAAAGAATGTATAAGCCGGCAAAATCATGCACTTTTTCTCCTATGTTAAAAAAAAAAGAAAAAAAAATTTTTTTTAAATGCTAAGGCTCTGAAAATTGTACATATTGGTTAGAATTTGGCTTTGGGAGAAGAGATGCTATCATTTAACCCCTTGGTGCTGAAAACCCCCAACTCTCCATACCAAGGGGTTCATGAGACACACAGATGTTGATAACGTGCCCACTTGAGAATTGATGCATTTCAAAGGCCTGGCAGTGCAGTGCATTGAAGACAGAGACCCGGAGGATGATGAGAAATGAACTTTGCTTGGCACAGTGAACACATCTGAGTACTGAGCAAGTAGACAGTGAAGGGTAATGACCTGGCGTGTGTATTCTTATCATGGTACACTAATCACTGAATTAAGCCATCAGGGAAAAACAAACAAAACAAAACAAGAACAGCTCCCCCTTTCCTTTTCTGTATATACTCATGTCCCTGGCTCCAACACTGCTCGCCGGCAGGGGCATGTATGCAGACCTCATCCTTCTTCATTTATGACGATCTTCAGATTAAACCCTTTGGTGCTAGGAGCTGACATTTTCCAAAGCGGCCTATGAAGTCCAGGGCTCCAGGCACCATTCTTGGGGCCGACAGGCGGCAGCCCAGACCCTGGAGTGATCATGGAAATGTACTTTAGGTTCAACTCAGACAGCTCCCAAACAGAAGGCCACAGCATTACTTAGTGTTGTGACTGTGATGTCGGAAGAGCAGGGGACTTCTTCAGGGGATGAATCACATTCATATGCAGATGTCTTAGCCTCTTGAGGGCCGGAAGTGTGGATTCAGGATCAGGAAACCACTGCTGGCAGTGGGCAGGCCACTGGGATGGACAGGGGATTAAAGGGCATTTAATTAAGGCAGCTAAGACATATTCAGACATTAGATTTTTTGTCCTAATTTTTGGTATTTTTATCTGAGTGAAGTTCATCTTTAATACTGAGTGGAAAGTGACAGTAACTGGTCCTTCACTCTTACACATAGAGCTCAACTTTTTTCTTTGTTGGTTTTTTATTATTATTATTTTAACTTGGAAGTATGTTGACCGACTTTGACCAAGAAGTAGATGAGAAGGTGTATCCTGTGAGTTGCCTTGTTCTCTAAGACAGAACCGGAAGATGGAGGCCAGGGAAGGCGCAGCGGCTAGCGGTCAGCTGCGGGGACCCACACACTCAGCTTGCAGCCTTTATTCCCCCCATTCTAAGGTGACTTTGACTGGGGACACTTCCTGAAGATTAATGACCAGGACTGACAGGGCCCCAGGCCAGCCCTCCCCAGCCCTGAGTGAATGAAGTGTCCGCTGGGCTTCAATGCTGAGAATCCGGTTCACCCTCCCAAACCTCAGCCTGCTGGCCTGGAGGAAAAAGACACACACACAAGGGTGTAGGGGGGACGTGGCAGCTCCCCTCGTGTTTGCTCATAGCTGTAGTCGGGGGTTCTGGCAGGTGGGGCCCTGGGGCTTGTGACCATCCATCAGACTCAGACGCCTCCTGTCCCCACAGTCACTGGGTTTACCCTCTTGTAACCACACAGCCATCCCGGAGGAAGTGGCCTTTCTGCACGGATTCTCGGCAGGGTGGTCCACAGCTTTGCTCTCCACTAACCACACAGCGTTATTCCATGTTGTTTTCCATCCCCACCCCTGATCTCCGGCTTCTCGAAGCTGACTGTTCTTGCAGGCCCCTTGCTGGGTAAGTAAGGGCCTTCCTCCCCAACCGCAGGGCCTGCGACACCTCAGTGGACACTCTTTGCTGCTACTGTTTGTACTGTCTACAGTAGAATTTCCTTATCTCGATCCTGGTAGTGCATTACAGGCAAGCATGAAATGTAAAGTATTTATTTAAATAAAAAAGAAAACCTCTAAATTGGTAATTGAATTACCTCTCTGTAGCTTTATAGTTTGTGACATTTCTTGACCTTGCTAGTTCTTTCATTAGATCCGTGCAAGATCTAGTCATCTGGTTAAAGACTTTAAGCAGACGGACCATGAACCCAAGAAACTGTATTACTATTGCCGTTGGTCATACTAAAACTGTTTATTTCCTTAATTATATGACCCACAAGGATGTGAAATTACTACAAGAAACTGTTTTGTACACTGTACATCCTTAGTATTTTTACACGTCTATGATAGGGTGCACATTATCCTCCTTCGTACAGACAGCTGGAATAAAGCACTATGTCACTCTACTACTTCTCTGTTTATTGTTTTTGGATGTGACTGAAATCATAGAAATGTAAATCCTGTGCTGAGGGCAAAGGAGCTGGCAGAGCCCTGCCTGGTCTTAATGTGCCACCTAGTAAAATCTGAGGGAAAATTATCTCAGTTCCTTGGAGCCCAGCACCCGAGACTCTCGCTCTGGGGACACGGGGCTGGCGTGGCGTGGCGTGGCATGCTCCCTGCAGTAGAGGACCACATCTCTCCATCTCATGCTGAGCTGGGACAGGAAAGGTCCTCACACTTAGAGGCAGTGGGAAGACACTGTTAACGCTTTTCACACTCCCGTTCACAGAGTGCATTTAAACCCTTCTGGCTGAGAGCATGTCTGGATGTGGGCAGTAGAGGGACCGGGTGAGTGAGGTGCACACCATTCAGCCCACTCCCCCGCCCCCTGACCAGGTGACGGGAGTCAGGCTGGGGCCAGTGGTGGCCTGAGGACAATGGTCACACGCTCCTCAGCCACTGCGTGGACAGTTCCGGACAAGAATGCAGCAAGCTCTGGAACTCTTCACAGGCCCTATTTTTAAAATACCCGTGGTATTCCTAAAGCAGAAGGACAATTAAAATACCTTCTGTGACAGGCTTTCTGTCTGGCACATCTGATGAGGCAGAAACCTGATTTGCTGGCCCTTCCCTGGTCTGGCACATTGGGTGGGCTTGTGTCTGCACGTCACCTCCCCGGGCCTAAGCCATGTGGTGGAGGGATGATAGAGTGGTGACACGTCCCAGCGGTAGCCTCACTTTTAGCCTTTCATGGTCACCCTCAATGACACTTTCCATGTCCATTTTTACTACTTGAAAGCATAAAACTATACAGTAGGAATGCTATTTTTAACGAAAATGAAGGTCTCTGTCCAGATACATGATGGGCTCCAATTACATTTTCTAACTTCACTACTAGGCTTAATGTCTTTCCAAATACTGCAAATTGAGGGAGACCCTGGCACCACCATAGTGGACAGAATTGAGGGGGTCCCTCCTGCCGCCTTGGGCTGCAGGTTGAAGGGCATTGTGGTGCAGGGCATTACTGAAGGCGGCCCTCCAGCCCTCTAAGCCATAGTCGTGTGACTCCCACGTGGTGAGTTGGGACTGTGCCAGGGAGGCACTGGTGACCCACCCTCGGGCCTGGAGAGTGCACTGTCACCTCAGGTGTGCGACTCTGTGGGGATCCGTCATGCAGAAGAGATGCATGGAACCCAAACAGCTAGAAGTGGTCAACTGTGCCATCCTGCTGGGGGGGGCGGTTGGTGACGTGGAGGATGGGCGAGATGGCTGCGGCAGGGCTGCCAAGCCAGAGCTCGGGCATGTGGAGAGGCGCAGAGCCCAGCAGTGGCCAGAGAAGCCTGGCCTGGCCTGGCCTGTGAACCACAGAACCTCGAGATGGGAGGGAGGGTAGTAAGTTGTGCTGCCAACCCAAAGGCAGGCAGTTCGAATCCACTGGCAGCCCCGAGCCTCTGAAAACTTACTATAGGCTGAGCCACAAATCAGCAGCCATGAGAGAAGATGAGGGGTTGCTCTGATAGGTAAAAAGAAAAACTGAAATTCAAGTCTTTAAAAAAACTCATTTTTTATTGAAAATTCCTATGTGTAAGAGAATTCAAAAGAGTGCATTTTAAAGCATCATAAACGGCAAACCATTTCTGAAAGTTACACAGGAGACGGAGTTTCAGCCTTCAGTCCTGCCCTGCCCTCCAGGGCGGAGGCCCAGCTGTCAGGCCCTGGACCGAGGAGTGCCCCGGGAAGGACGGTGGTGGGATGCTGGTGACTGCAGATATGTGTAAATCACTGTGTCTCATCCAGGTCAGCAGTCAGTCTGTGGCATTCTGGGTACCTGGAAAAGATAATAAAAAGGATG